CCTGCTTCAGGTTCGCTCTCTGCCAGCCTGCCATTTAGAGATAGGCTTGCTTATGGGAGGAAGATGGGGTGGTTAAGATTTCAAGTGCCATTCACGTGATGTGTGTGCTCTTAGCGTGCCCTCACTTCTCTGTGCCTGTACAAAACCAGCTGCCACCAAAGCCTGAGCCAGGTCTGTGCTGCTGCCTGCCTGCTGCAGGCAAAGCTTCTCTTCTGAGTGCTGGAGAAGCACCCAGAAAGCTGCACATGTCTGGTTGTGGTCAGTTCCCCAATAGGTCAGAGCAAGTGTAATGATGCTGCTGTCATTCCGACCAGATCTTGGGCAGCCATGCATTCCTGCGTGTTCCTGATGTTTCTATCTGTAATTGGAATCAGAGAGCACAAGGAAGTGCAATACTTAAGGGAGGAGAGCTGCACTGATTTCCATCGAAATACCTTTTTTTTTTTTCCCCTGCTGTTTGCAATTAATGGATAATTAGTGCTGAAAGAGATTGATTTCATTTGTGGAATAAGGCTATGAAGCATTCACCAGATAAATAGAGGAGCTCCTGTTGAGGGGCAGCACTGGGAGCAATGAGTTGAGCATCCCTGCCTGGGTTGGAGGGGAACCTGGCGGTGTGTGAGCTGAGGAGCCTCAGGCTACTGCTGGGTGAATGCTTTCATTCAGAAGTAAAGCAGCTTCATGTTGCCTTAGCACAAACTTCCTTTACATTTTAAAGTTCATCATTTTCCTAAGGTTGTAATAATAGTGCTGGAAGGTGTGAAATCACCCAAGACAATCTGGTAGATGGTGTTGAGCTCGGATAAAGCCACCTACAGCACCAGCTCAGGACGGATTTGATCAGTCTTGTTTTCTGTTTTGACTGAATTTCTAAAGCCGTTTTCCAGTGTGACTCATATTAAAAAGTGAAAAAAAAAAAAAGGAAAAGGCTTTAGGGTCAAGCTGGAATAACACAGAGAGCCCGAGAGCAGACAGCTGTAAAAGTCACCACACGGCCGAGTTGAACCCTTCTGGTGGGTGCTGGCTCTTTCCCAGCTATTCAATACGTGGTGTTCCCTTTCTGCAGGGTCAAACTGCAGTGACTTTTGCCATGCTCTTTCATCTCATTCTCTGCTCTCAGTCTCCACGTGGACGGGTGAGGTTCATGGGAGCGTCCGTGTGATTTCTCTCAGGAACAGAGCAATTGAACCAGAAGAGAAAGGTCTGCTCCTGCCTTAACATAAATAAATTGTAGGTGCTGCAGAGAAAACAGGCTCAGGCCGTGGGACAGGAAGGCTGTGCGTGCTGGAGCTCAGTGTATCACCCTGTCTGCCTGGAAGATGCATTGATAGACAAAAGGGAAGGGTGTGTGGGCAGACTTAAACACTTTCAGCTGGAAACAGTCCTTTACTTTCCCTTGCACAGTAGGGACAGCATATCTGTAAATGTATCATAAAACTTGGGTGTATCAGGTTTTTAAGTGAATCATATCACAGGTGTGGAAGAGAGGAAATGCTGTGCCCTTCAATGCTGGGACAGGGGAGCAGGGAGCATCACCAGCTGGGCTGTTTGATAAGCATGGAAACTTCTCTTGGCTGCATGTCATCCTCCTTGGGCTGTTTGAGCAGCAAAGCTATAAGTGCTGCTTGTGGAGCTGTGCTTCAGAATCTTTGTCCCTCTGTATCCTGCGAGGTGCAGCCCGTGTAGCCTTTTCCCATCTGTGATCTGTGATCTCAGAGTGGTGGTTTTACTAATGGAAGGTTCCAATCTCTGGCTCCATGGAATTTAAATCATCAGTTGGGTAATTTCGAATCATTTTTCTAGCATGACACTTTTTGCTTTGATTATGGGAGAAAATCAGGAGCTCTGTGCAATATTATGAAGTCTCGCCAGTCTTTCATGATGCATTTAGTCCTACACAGCCTGAAAGAGCAGGAGAGAATGGAAGATCAGACTGTAATAAGGGAAGAAATGAACCAAAATTTTCCATTTTGTGAGAAATTCCGTAACTGTCATTGTGAACGTTTCTGTATAATGAAATTCCAGAAGAAACCTTTGGTTTTGTTGGAGAGGTTTTGTGTGTTTCTATGTCAAAGTCAGCAGTCAGTTTTTTTCCCTTTAAACATAGTGATGGCTCCTTTTTTGGCATTACTGACATCTTCATTTGGGACTTGATTTTTTGTCTTTGTGAAATGTGTCATACCCAGTTTGTAACTGAAAGCCTGAATTCAGGAAATCACTTGTCTGTGTGCTTAGCTTCACCCCTATCCTTGCATCCTATTGGAGTTAATGGGATATCACATGCTTGTCTGCATCTGGGCCATCAGTAAGCCTTGCAACTGCAACTGGAAATTAGATGGTGGGCATCCATTGGTTTGAATATGGAAATAAAATAGGAAGGAGCCATTTCTGCTTCTTGGATGCTCTCTGCTCGAGACATCAGCAGTGCTTAGCTTTGCTGTGAAACACTTAGCTGCAAACATGAGGTTGGCAACACAGAGCTGAATTAACAGTTGCTTTCTTGATTCTGCTGTGTTATTAACCTTCTATATTAAAAAAAGAGACCTTCCTGAAACTTGAGAATTTTCAGGAAATGGGAGCAAGATCTACAATTTTCGCATTGGAGGGCTGTGGGGAAGCACTGAGCATGGACCAGTTCTGTTCTGGATTGCTGCATTGGTTCCTTCCTGTACAGTAATTGCATCCCTTATAAATATGGCCATCTTATTTTTGCTTAAACGCGTATAATTCAGGCTCCAAATCTGCACAAACTTTGTTTTGCTCAACTGTTAGAACAGTTCAGAGCTTTTCTATGTACACTTTTTAATTTATTTATGATGAGCTTTAAGCTGTGGGTCACTGGGAAATATATTTAGGATGCTGGGTAACTTTTTGCTGGGTAGAAATGTGTGGTTTTCCTTCCTGAAACCGTGTTCCCTCCCAGCACACCATAGGCACCGTCCTTTTGGGTGGGATGGAAGGAGTCCCATTCCTGTGAGACTCTTGTGACCCTCATGCACGAGAGCCTGAAGTCGAGGCTGTGTTGGGCGCTGGGCTGCAGCAGTTCTGTCTCCCCACATGCAGCTCCCCTGCCTGCAGGCTGCAGCTTGCACGGTGAGCTCAGCTGTTGCTTAGCAGCTGCGGGGCTGCTGCAGCTGGAAGGAAAAGGAGCAGGGGTTCTGGGTTACCTTCCTGCACCAGGCTCACACTGCGACAGGGGTTGTGCAGCACGAGAGGAACCTGTGGGAGAGAAAAAGGGCCAGGAGCTCTGCTGCTGGAGGTAAGCTGTCCCTGCTGGTTACTCAGCATCTCGTCACTGCCAGCAGCTTTGCTCTGTGTTGGGCAGGGGATGGATGCATCTTGTGGCACATGAGCAGAGCACTGGCAGTGCAGGCTGCTCTGCATGCCCTGCCCCACTGCCTGACCCCCTGTCCTGTCCTCTGCATTCATGGATGACAGCAAGGCTGCGTTTCCACAGTCCAACATTTACCATCAAAATGTTGTGAATTACAGAATTATTTGATAAATAGGTCTGGTTTTTTTTTCGTGGGCAGCATAGGAGGTTGTGCTGAGATGTCTGGGTAGGGCAGAAGCAAAGAGTAGATTGCAGGGATTTCTCAGTCTGCTATTTGCTACACTGGTGCCCAAACCACGCTCAGCTGAAGGTCATGCTGGCGACTTATCAACAGAGCAAAAGCACTTACTTGCAAAAAAAAGATGGCAGAACTTGCAGTCCTGTTTTGGGTTGGTTTTTGTTGTTTTTTTTTTTCCTATAGACTAAAAGTAAAGTGACTTATAGAAATTAGGAGGAGTTTGTGTTGTATAGCTACTCCCTCTGAAAGCTTGTGAAATAGAAATCACTTCTTATAGTATTGAAAGCAGAGTTTATGGGTATAGGACACAATCCGGGGTTACATCAATTTGGAGGAAAATAGCCATTGCACTGGATTAAGGGCTCTGTGTTTACAATTTCTCTACAAGCTTTGGCTGTTAGTAGAAAAGCAATGCTTTTGGTTGGTGTTTGTGGAACTTGGAGCGCATGGATCCTCTGTCTGACATCTTCAGTGCTGTGCTGCAGGGCTGGGCTGTTGGCTCTGCTGCTGCCCTCGTCCTTTCCACGGCTGTGAAGCCTCTATGGGAAACCTGACAGGGATATCTTCTTTTTCAATGTGGCCACACCGTTGTTTCTGGAAAAGAAAGATTGAAGAAGCGCTTGGAATAGAAAGAGGGGAGGTTTGTGGATGTCCATGGCCACTGATTCAGAGTCCATGTCTGTAAAACAGAAATAGCATCATCTTCTGGGCTGCACTGGAGGATTAACAATTCGTAAAGAGCTCTGACCCGCAAACTGCTGCATTATTGTGGGTTTTTTTTATTGATCACAATAGGCCATGAAGCATTTAGAAATAGTCATTAGATATTAAAAGCTTTGCAGGGTAAATCATGCTGCGCCGCCATGGCCCTTTTCTTGTCCCCTCGAGCAGTGTGCATCTTGTCAATGGTTTTAATTGGGGAAATGATATGCACTCAGGAGTGAATTTTCACATAGTGTTGTTATTCTTCATAGATTTTTTTCCCCTTAAAGTCAGCTGAAGATTTGCCTGAGGCACCTACAGAAATGTTGCAAGCCCCAGTGCTGCCTTCAGATCCTCGTTTGCATGTTCTTCACCCGGTGCAGGATCTGGTATCAAGCTGTTTATACAACCATTTTGTAATTTACGTTTGTGCAAAGACACCTTGTTCACAAAAATGCTACAAAAACCCGTCAGATGGGGCCGTTAACAGCTTTGCTGGGTCCCACAACCTCTGGGCCACGTGCAGACCCACTGGTGTGTAATTAGAAGAGCACTCACAATGCAAATTAACACACGTAAATATCGCTAAGGCACTTCCAGCTCTTCCAAATGCTTTGCAAAGCGGGATCTCCAGAGCTGTCTGCTACTTCTGCCAGGATCATTACTCTCCTCATCCCAGCAGCCCTGGTGGGTCTGTAACCGCATGGGGCCGTTCTCTCTGTGCAGGGGAAGAGTTGGATCGTGAAGCGCAGCTACGAGGATTTCCGTGTTCTCGACAAGCATCTCCACCTCTGCATTTATGATCGGCGTTTCTCCCAGCTCGCAGAGCTGCCCCGCTCCGACGTGCTGAGGGACAGCCCAGAGGTAAGTTACCAGCTCAGGGAATGAGAGCAGGGCATCATTTCCAGCCTTTAATTTCAATGGCTTTAAAGGGAAACGGCTGGTGAGTTCTAACCTATCAATGTGCAGCTGTGGGGAGCATCCAGAAGGAGGCTGTGCTGTCAGTGCCTCAACCACGATGCTGGTTTGCCTTGGGAAGCTTCCCCAGTGCCATGGATATTTGCTGACTTAACACAGTCAACGTTCCTAGGGGGTGATGCTGCTCTGCAGCCACAGCACTGAAATGCTGGATTGTATTTATAGCCTCAGGATCACTGATCACTTATCTTTTTAAGTACATTTGCATTAGTGTCACATTTAAATTGTCTTTAAAGCGTGAGCAAGAGGTTTTTCATTTGTTGTCACACAGACGTCGCGTGCTGAGAATTGGAATCCTTCAGCTTCTCTGCTGTGGATAACTGGGGGATTCATCCACGTCCGAAATAATTTGCTGGGAAGTAGCAGGTGCATCTTGACTGCATCATTTTGAAAGACAAGGAGAGAGACACAATGCAGTGTGTGGCCACAGAGGGTTATTTGAGCCAGCAGAGCATGACAAAACCGCCTCTGTTGGGCTGCAGTCTGGCTGTGGGAAGAGCCTGTATCCCAGTTACAGGCAGGGCCCGTTGCTTCATTTCACAGGTCACTTGTCTCTGGGCCCTGTGCTTGTGTGTTTGCCCCCTACCATCAAGCACGGCCATGGACCGACCCTGACATGCTCTGTCAGAAGGGGAATGTTGCCTGTCTGAAATGGGAGATGAGAAAATTGAAGCCGTTCTGAGCGTTCAAAGCAGAATCTATCCAGGATCTGTAAATCAGTGTCTGTGTTCTTTCGGTGCCAACTGGGTGAGGATTGATTGCTTTAGAACTGCACACAATGGTTGAAATCAGTCTCCTGCTGCAGACTATGGGGCATCTGCCATTCGGTACAGAGGGTCAATAATGCTCTTCTATTGCTCAGCAGATAATGTGATTTATTGGTTGCTTTGATTTCATGCAAGTTCTTTCTGAAGAGAATTTAAAGTTACTAGTCTCTTAAATTGAACAGAAGCAGCAATACTCAGGATAATGAATTCCTGCATTTTTAAAAAATTAATTATATTGTAATCACTCCTTCCTCTTAAATCTTCATTTGTGCAGCTAATCAAATGCATTCAGTGTGTACTTTATGCCGTGAGGCTGAAGGTCTGCATCCTGTCTGTGAGCACAGAGGATGCTGAGCAGCTCTTCTGCTTTGTGGAATGTCGTCCTGCAGCAGTGTGGTGTCCCGTGCTCATTTCTGTTTGGAATTGACCACGTTTGAACAGATGTTTGAGGAGAACTATTTCAAACAGTCCTACAAACTCTGCGCTGTAATTCTGCTTCATAACACTGGCAGGGAAGCTTTGGGAAGACCTCACTGGCTTCTCTTTTATGAGATCAGTGATTTGTGCACGTGTGAAATTCATGATGAGAGGAGGGCTGTAAATTCAGGGTATTTTTCCAGGAGAAATTACTAAAAATCTACTTATCTTATATCAAAATCCCATTGCCTTCATAGGGAGCTGCAGCTTTAGACACTTTTTTTCCATGTAGTCACTGCAATCCTGAGTACAGTGTGCTCTACTCCTAATGGCAGATTTCTTTGTGAAAGTGAGTATTATTCCTGTAACACTGGCCTATGCCAACAGGTAATTAATGGTAATTCTGAAGGAGTCTCTCAAAGCTGTACTGTGATAACTCTATGTGTTTCTTTTCTATTGCAGCTTGTCACCCACACGCTGATGGCTTACCTGTCCCGTCTCTCGGCCATCGCATGCAATAAGATCAACTGTGGGCCTGCCCTGACATGGATGGAGGTACAGAATGAAGCTCTGGTTGTTCTTTGTTCCCTGACTTTAGCCAGCAGAGTGAGCCGCAGGTGTGCTCTCCTGCCTTTCAAGAGAGAGATAAACCTTCCAGATCTATCACTGAAAAGCAGTCCTAAAAGCTTAATTTCCCCACTACAGGTGTCTGGATGGCCACGAAAGGTGTAGTACAAAAAGAATCAGATCAGGCATTATAAACATGCAAAGGATTTGTCCTATCCTGCTCGGGTTTTATAACCCAAAGGTGTCGTTCTCGTTTTCTCAAAGTAAAGGAAGGTGGCACTTTTGATGAACCAAGGGTGGTGTCAGCCAACCACCATCTCAGTCCTGTCCACGAGGTCTCCAAGGAATGGGTTACAGGAAATGGACAGCTTGCATTCCTTTTGGGGCTGTCTCATTTCTGCTGTTTCTCCTCTTTCTTTCCCCCTTGCTATAGCTGCAGAAACAATAAATATGATCTGCTCCCGTTTGCCGTCACTGTTGGTTGAACTGCTCAGCAGAGCTTGCTTTGTGCTTGCAGTGGCACTGTTTGCATCTTGTGAATTGCAGCTGTAACTTTGGTTTCCCTCTTAACAGCCTTCTACCATCTTAAACAATCAACATTCTTGGGCCAAGAGTGCAGGAGAGAATGGGGCTCAGGGGGCAGTGCCACCTGTGTGCATCAGTGCCATTGCTGATCAGTCTGGGTGGGGGTGTATGTGTCTGCATTGCCTGCTGATACTCCTTGCACACCAGGAACAGAAACAACTGGGATTAGACTTGCAATTCGTTATTAAATGCTCATGATAAGGGCCCAGTGCATTTCCTGCAGCTTTCCCTGCAGATGTGCTCCTCTCCATGAAATCCTCTGGGATGAAACAAATCTTGGAAACCTCAGCATGAAGGGAGGAAAATTAGAGATAAAACTGAAACTGTGATAGCTTTTAGAGCAACCCAGTAGAAGTAAAGATGGCAGCAAATGCCACTGGAATTGCTGCAGTGCAGTTTAAATTCCCTAGAATAACCTTTTCAATTAACTGAGATTCTTTCCAAATTTCACGTGAGCACAAAAACCTGGGAATTTTGATAGCAGCAGGGGATGCAGCCGTGCTTTCTGAAAATAACAAGAAATAAAAGGGTGGGTGAAAACTGGAAGTGTCACGAGTTTCCAATTGACATCATTTCCCCTTATTCTGCACTTCTTGAGCATTCGTTCCTTTGCAAGGAATTTTTGTGGTCATTCTTGTATTGTCATTTTAAACGCTGAAGAGAAAAACAATACAACCAAGTGTTAAAGGGAGGTGTAAGCATCTACTGTCTTGCTACTGTTTGTACACAGAGATGCACAGATACAGTGTTTTTGTCCTTAAATGGATGGAGGGGATGTACGACCTTCTGAAATGCACTCCATGAATTGCTCTTCCCCTTTCTTTCTGTTTACTCTGCTCTGTGATGCCTCTCCGTGCTGCTCTGCTCTGGGGGGCCCCAAGCTGTGCTGTCTCTGTGAATCAGCTTGAAATCTCAGCCATGTATGAGCACCAATAAAATGCTTCCTCGCCTGTCCTCAGCTGCCTCACAGCCGCCTGCGTTCTTTGTTTCAGATTGATAACAAGGGGAACCACCTGCTGGTCCATGAGGAGTCATCTATTAACATTCCAGCTATTGCTGCTGCCCATGTTATTAAGAGATACATTGCCCAGGCACCGGATGAGCTCTCCTTTGAGGTAAGTAGTTAAAAGCAGTGGCATTCCTTGTTGTCAAGTACAGTGCAATGTGTGAACGCATCAGGAATACACTCAGACACCTTTGGAATCATAGAATGGCCTGGGTTGAAAAGGACTGCAATGATCATCTAGTTTGAACTCCCTGCTATGTGCAGGGTCACAACCAGCAGCCCAGGCTGCCCAAAGCCACATCCAGCCTGGCCTTCAATGCCTGCAGGGATGGGGCATCCACAGCCTCCTTGGGCAACCTGCAGTGTTTGATGAGGTGAAGCTTAGAAGATTCGGTTCAATATTAGACTTGCAGTGGGTTGGATACAGTGAGGAGTTGAGTCATCTATAAAATATAGCTTTACTTGGCATTTGTATCTTTTGATTACTGCCAAGTATTCTAGCCTGGTCTCTGAGTAGCAGCAGAACCTGCACTCAACAGTGTGCATTAAATCCATTCAGGACATGTGTGTACATGGATACAAGCCAAATGAATTATTCATAGGCCAGTTCTATTTAGCCTATATTCCTATTCTAAAGTTTTTAAAAACTTCTCCTCCCATGAAAAGTGAAGAACCAGATCGTCAAAAATTTGGTACTGAGGAGACAGGCAATAATCCATAGCTGTTCTGGAAATCGTGCTTGATGCAGAGCAGGAGCTGCTTGGAGGCAAAGCCCAGAGGAGTGGGCCATGCAATCTTTGGGTTCCTGGCTCTTCTATCCCAAAGCAGTGTGTTTTGCTCTGTGTACCGTGGCATTATCAATGGAGCATTCACTGTGTCATGCAAAAAAGCGTGAAGGAAAACAGTTACTGCCCAAAGGAGCTTTTTTGTGATCGCATTTCTCAGCAGGAAGTAAAAATAGTAGTGAGAGTCTATTGCTGCCAGGGCTTTGTTCGTATTCAGAATCAAGGCCATCGTTCCTGCATGCCAAAGAACGGAGCTAATCAGAAAGACATGTGGGTCTGTCATCTTCCAGTTCGGATGCATGCAGTGCATGATGCAGGTACTTTGTTGGTATCTCTATTAATATAAGCATTGGGATTGCAGTTCTACTTCCAGCTTCAGTTTTACAAAGGCAAATGCCTTCAGAGCTGCGTTGGTGCAATTGCTCACAATTTTCACAGTTTTTGCAGCACAGATGAATGCTGCCCTTTGAACTGTGCTTTCCTCCTGGCTGTGCTGATGTTGCCAATCTCTTGCAGGTGGGAGACATTGTGTCTGTTATTGATATGCCACCAAAGGAGTTGACCACCTGGTGGAGGGGCAAGCACGGATTTCAGGTAGGCACAAGCTTCAGCCTTGATAGCACACCTTAAATAAAGTCAGAAGTCCCAGCTTAGAGCTGCTCTGCCTGCACAGGATTATAAGCATAAGCACTTCCCCTGTGTTGGTGTAAGAAGACTTTGTTTTCCTTTTGCTCTAGGCTTGGGCTAGAGCTGAAATATGGCCTTTGTAGAAATTGTCTCCTCACCAACTGTGCAGAGCAGGGACAGCTGTGACTCTGATGCTGCTGGCCTGATGTTAGGGGAGCTTTTACTGAGCCCTGTCTGAGACAGCTGACAGTTACTCAGGTTATACCATTCTTTCCACTATCTAAAACTAGCTCAGGCAGGATGGAAAGGGCTCAGACAAAGGCAGCTGGTCAGACTGCCACTGACTTGGATGAGCCAACTAGTGTGTGCTTTCATGCCTCCATTTATTAGAAAGCATTAACATTGCTGCTCTCTGTAAATGCCAGCAGAGAGATTTGGACTCAGTTTGCAACTTATCTGTGACTTAGGTACCAAAACTTCTGAGTTGAAATGGTGCTTTCCTTCCACAGAGTTGTTATTCTATTCAGTGGAACTGCTTATTAAGAATAATTAAAAGAAAAAGCCTTAATTTGCAGAACAAAGTCCCAAAGCTGCTGAAAGGGGGGGAACTGACTTTGTCTCCTCACACTGCAGGAGTTTCAGCTCCTTCCAAGCAGGAAGGAACATTTGTTCTGTTGCCTCTCTGTGTAGGTGGGATTTTGAGTTCCTGCTGGGGGGGGTCAGAACTGACCACACTTGTATGTTTGGGCCTAGAAAGCCCTCTTGATGTACTGAGATGGACTTTTCAGTGCCAGACTGAGTCGTGGTTCTGCTGTCATTAATACCAGGGCTGCGTGCAGTTGGATCCCATCTGAATGGGATGTTACATCCAGAGCTGTGTTCCTGTCTCATTAGAGAGCACCTGAGATAGATACAGCTTTTGGTGTCTTTATATCTGGCATGGGTGTTCTGATAATATCTCACTAAGATGTCCAAGCTGCTCTGACTTAATGATTAGTGAAGTGCTCTAGTACTGCTTGCAGTGATCAGACTACGCTGTATTTAACTCTTGAGTGAATTGGTAAGAGAAAACAGAAATCCACTGTGATGTGTGTATGAGCCAATATGCACCAAGAGAATTCAGAAGGATGGGGGATATTTCTCTGGTGTTGATGCACCTGGCCTAGGGATGTATTGCAGTTCAGTGCCATCAATTAATGCTTTAAAAACGGGGACGTAGGGGAAGGATTTTGTTCTGTAATATACAAAAGAACTGATAAAACTGTGCGACTTTTACAGAGTTGATTCCAGGTAAACAATTCTGCTCCCATTTAGGAGCAACAGCCATTGTAAAAATGATCACAATCTGCTGAGCCAGTCATTTTAATTGATAAAATAAATCAACAAAGTCCGTCTTGCCAGATCGCTGAGATTCTGACATCATCTGTGCTGCAGGGAGCAAAGACTTGCTTGTAATGTCATGCAGCCTGTGAAATGCACACCAGTGCATGGCTGGTGGTGTGGAGCTCCTCAGGTGAGGCTCTGAGCACTGTCTCCTGTTATCTCTAAGCAGGCTGTCAATAGCACAGGTGGCTGTGCTTCTGGCAGGGGTGGCACAAGGAGGAGATGTAGGACGACCTGTGGTTGGTGGGTTCCAGTTTTTGGAATATCCTGTAGCAGTCTGGTCTGTGATGGAAGTATTTGGGAAGCATTTCAGGTGGTGGCCTTTGCATGGCAGATTCACACTGCAGGATGGAAAATGTGTAACAGAAAGCTGCAGGAGTGCAGCTCAGTGGGAGTGCAGTCATCTGCAAGGAGCCATGGGCCATCATACGCAGCATCTTTCAGATTTGTCTTACCTCCATCTTGGTGTTTTCTTTTCTCTATTTTGATGATGCATATTTTTAACGGAAAGCACATTAACAGGACGTGAGTCTGGATGGATAATGTGGGTAAAATCACCTCATGTGTGGGGGAGGCACACACCAGAAGAAGACGATCTGAGTGGAATCCCAGGCAATGAGAGGTCCTTCCAGGAGCGTTGGAGCTGGCTGCCAGAGCTGTCCTTCCCTCAGAATATAAGAAGGCTCTTATTGCTTTATTTGCACACCGTTTGGTGTGCTCCCAGATCCCTCATCCTGACCTGGAAAGCTTTGACCATCGATGAACTTTTTGCCTACAGGTGTCCGGAGAAACCAGACCTGGCAGGGTGCAAATATGCTCCATTTGAAGCACAGCTTTGATTCAGTATGAAGGGTGGTTTGTGCTTTGCCAGCCCAAATGACTCCTTGGGAATTTGTCCTTCTGTTTCCTGTTGCAGTTGCAGGCACCTTTCCCCCAGTATCTGATCTAAGGACTGCATTGCAAAGTACTTAATCCTGCACGGAACAAAACAACCCGTTTGGCTCTTTTATCATTTTCCCTGGTTAAAGTACAATCATTTTTAAGATGTTTTTCCTCTAGCTTTTTTCTTTTCAAATGTCCTCAGTGAGTCACTGCTTTCATTGTAAGATTGTTACCTAAATTACGGCCACCTCCACTGTAACAGCCTCCCAGCCCTCTTTGTTCTCTTCTTCTTTTCCTTCATGCTTTGTCTTTTCAATCAGTGTCAGATAGCTGAATCATCAGAGACAGGACCTCTTCTGATGCACAACTGCCTTTTGATGTTCTTAATAATTCTGTCTTTGGGGTATGGCTTCATTAGTTGCATTACTGCACAGCAGGAAGCTGCCCAGCTGCTGAAGGTGGCACGAAATGATGCACAAGAATGTGTGCAACCAGCAGTAGATCGTGTGCTTTTGGAACCCTTTATGATTTACAACTAACAGAAAAAAAAACTGAATTAAATTTAATCTGTGCTTTAGCCTCTGTCAAGACCAAAATGCAGTCAAAGTGTCTCAAACAGTATTTTATTTGACATTTATGTTGCTGATACGTTCCCATTCATTGGGATCTCCTCCTCCACCACTGACAGTGGTTACTGTTATTTTGTCTTTCCCATAAAACCTCTGGCATCTTCCAGCTTTAGCAAAGTCTGTGCAAAGAAATGATGTGGAAGCTGCTGTAGAAATGTGTGCACACAGCAGCAGTGTGTTTTCCTCCCTTGGTTCAGGCGTGAGTGATTTTTTAACCTTCACATGACCTTGTATTTATCTAAATATATGTTATCCTTGCTATTAATTTTCGTACGTTGCCAAATCCTTTAATCCTGGCCCCAGCACCAACAGCGCCTTGCTACATCTGCTGAGATTAACTCTTGGACTTAACTCATGTATTTATACAAAATCATGGAGAACTTTCCATGCAGGGAGAAGCAGCATCATTTAAGTGGGTGGGAATGAGGCAGAAGTCATAGGTGATGACCCTGCAGATGATCTCCTGAGGATCATTAAGAAATGTCAGGATAAATAAGTCAAAAAAATGCAAGCTGTCAGCTCTGTTAGCAGGAAGTTAATGTCAGAGAGTTTGCAAGTGCTGAGAGAAGCCAGAATTCTTTCCCTTAGCATTGTTCATTACAATTGTTGGTTCTGAACATGGCAAAAAAATGGGGTGTAGAAGCAAGAGTCATGTTATATTTGGGAGGGCTTTAGAGATATCTCAGGGCAGTGACACAGCCATCCCAGCCACGTTTCATTTCAAAAGCCATGGTTGGCATTTTGTATTGCACTGAGAAACAGGAAAGACATCACACTACATCTCAATTCTTCCTAACCTAAAAATTGTCCCTTGCATCTCTTGCATGGGAAATTTCTTAGAGAGACTCTTAGCTGTAGAGCAGTGATTTAAAATACACATGATGAAATTTGTTTAAATAGCAGAACTTCTTGCATATTTGCCAATCAGCATTTTTCTCCACATCTCCAGGGAGAACTAGGAACAGTCTCCCAGGCTGAGCTCTTCACCTGGGCACAGCATGCATGGCGCTGCTGCTGGTTGACTGGGAGCTTACTGGTGAAAATCACTGCAGAGTAAGAAAGAGTTCCTTTCTGCCTGGGGACAGGAGGGAGTTGAACAAGATGGCTCAATGGGGAGAGCCCTCTGCCAGGCTCCTTCCATGCGTTGTTGCAGCACTGGAGCAAAGCGTGGCTGCAGGGCTGAGATGATGCTTTCAGTTCACATGGGGCAGGAGATGCTGCTGCTGGCTGAGCTCCTACCTCCAGCCAGCACTCTTCTGTGCTGTGCTATGATCCAAAGAGAAAAAAGGCTGGAGAGAAGGACAGAGGTGTTGCTGCCCAGGAGCGATGTGAGACCTGGAGTCCTGCTGCTGTTAGAGGTTGTTCTGCTGCACCGTGCTGCTCCTTCTAGAAATAGCTGGGTTTATTTCTAGTCAAATTACTCTTTTGTTATTTGCAGAATAACTCATTTTACTCCGTGGAGATGTTACTAAACCTCTTCTCAATTCTAAGGTGGAATTCATTCTAACCAAAAACCACATCTAAGCTGTCTAACAAGATGCTTAAATGTACTTGATTTGAATGCTTCAGGAATATCAATTACCCACCTTCATCAGGTTGTGCACACGCAATTAGGACACTCAGAAACACTTTGTATAAAGCACTTTCTCCCTATTTTACTATAGAACAACATGCATTTTTCTGCAATGGCACTACACAGACATGTAAAAATATTTACCGCAGTTTTGTAAAGGAATACAGTGTCAAAGTGCTGGTGAATATACTGTTGTGAGAGTGGAAAAAGATCAGGTGTTGGTGAGATTTGAGTGCAGATGAATGAGATGCTAAGAGCTGAACAACCTGCTTCATCATTAGATTTCATTGCACACACAGGGAGCTCAGCTGAAGTCTTTCCCTTCAGTTCCCCTTTGGTGTAGGGCTCTAAGGCATACTGTCCTCTCCCTGCCCCATGCACAGAAGTTGACCATCTCTGTCCTGTGTACAAGCATAGAGAACAGAACAATTATTTGGTTTGTGGACTTTCTGACTGCAGCGTTTTGAAGAATGATGGCTCTTATACAGTCTGGTTTGTGTTGGATGAGGTTGTGGGGCATCAGGAAAGCACATCCCAAAGAAAATGTTATGTGGTTGTGGGTTGAACACTTCAGATCTTAGAAACACTGCATTCAGTACTCTGCCTCTCTTTTTGTTCTTGCCACAGGTTGGATTTTTCCCTAGTGAGTGTGTTGAACTAATTAACGACAAAGTTCCTCAGTCTGTCACCAATTCGGTGCCAAAGCCAGGTATGTATGTTGCATTTTAAGGTGCAGTGAAGTGAAATGGAGTCTTTTCTCATGTCTTCCATGTTTAACATCTCCTTTGTACACCCTATGTCACACTCCGTGTTGATCATCCTTTATGCGTTCCATTGCTGCTCTTTCTCTGTGTTGACCATCTGCAGGTTCTTCCTCTCTCAATGGTACCCACTGCTAAATATCTTACAATGTTTTGTATGGTAGTAGCAGTGTTGATCTCTTGCATGGTCTGAAAGACTTTGGGCACGTGAGAACATAAGATTCCTGCAGCAATCCATGCAGCTTCCCAGCTCTTGGTGTTTTACATTCGTGTTTGTGGTTTTCTATAAGGAACACACCGGTGGTCCAAAAATGCTTCTGCTGATTTAGATGGAATAGATTAATCAGGTTTTGCAAGCTGCTTTCTCTTTGGAGTGTGTTGGAGGGAATCAGCTAGAACAGAATTGGGATCCTCATTGCCTCTGTTCTGGGTATACAGCTCCATCCACTCCTACCACCCTTTGGTTCTGTGTCAAGTACAGGCAAACCAACAGCAGGCTCTGCTGATGGAAGGGAAAATAAGTAGGAGCTGTAAGCTGCCCTCCTCCTGTTGTCCTAGTGCACGTTGGAAGTGGTTACAGGTATAGGTGCTGGGATGTCCATAGAATTTACTGGTGCTGAAGCTTTTGTTTTACTCCTCCAGTTTCTTATGCACAAGTGTTTGTGTGTGTGTTTATCTTCTGTATGATGAGAAGCAGTTTGAAATTGCTGATCTGTCCCAAAACGCAGGCATGTTGAGCTGGAGAGCTGCTTAACGAGGGTTCATCTGTTTTCTTTATTTTAATGATGGTCTTATCTTACGAGATTGCTGGTTAGATATGCTGCAAACGGATGCAATTGCAAAGTCTGATTTTTACTGCAGGAAATGCATTTTATCAGGTCTTGTGTTAGGACTTGGGAGCTTTCAGGTTCAATGGTAAGAAGTCGTGAGCACCCTAAATTATCAACCTGCTGCATTCATCTGCATTCTCCAGTTCAGGGAAATCAGTTTGGCAGCTTTTGTTATTCATGGGAGCGTGCAAATGTATTTGCTGGGATCAGTGTCAGAGATCACTGGCAGTTGGAGGCAGTGCAGCAGGTGGTCATTCCCTAAGGGCAGTACCTCCTTCTGTTGGATGCTGAGCTCCATGCACTGTGCTCAGCCCCTGCTCTGTGCTCTGCCAGCTGCAGCATGGTGGATGAGGAAGCCTTTATGTACAGGCTGAGCTGATAGAAACAATCATAAGCGAGTGTTTATTGTTAAATATGGCTCAGGCAATTAAACGTCATGAACTGCTAGTGAGTAGATTCTTGCTATGCTTTAATGAGAGATAATGAAGTAGCATGGATTAATAAATTCTCTTTGGCTTTAACAACACGCTGGGGGGTGGATTTCCTCTGTCAGTCCAGGGAAATGTTTGCTACAAAGTTATAACAAAAGCCTGAATCCTATTAAAGGTAATATGATGAGATATTGCCAAGCCACGAGGCTGTCCCTGCTGCCCTTCCCTGGCAGTCATTCCAGGCGTGCAATTAAAGGCAGAAGCAGCACAGTGAGAAGGCTTCACATGCCCGGACTGCTAGAGCAAATGTTGCAGCTGTTTCTGTAATCCTCCCCTGCCCTTCCTTTGCACACAGAATCAGTGTTACTGTATCACTGCAGCGTTGCACTCCCTGTTTTCTTTCCACCTTGGATGTCAGCGCACTGTGTGATGGAAGCAGATGGCTCCAACTCTCCCTTGGTTGCTGCAGAAGTTGGGACTGGAGGCAGCTGGAAGGAGTTTGGAGCAGTCCTCCTCCCGTGGTTAAGCACATTGAATGTTGTGTTGCAGAACTGGAGGACTTGAGGGAAAAAATGATGTGTGAGGGACAGAAGGGGTGAGAACATCAGGGAGGAGGAGAGAGTTTCAGTTTGCTGCTCTGGGTTGCCACAGCTGCTGTGTCAGTATGGGCAGGAGGGAGGCACAGGGCAGCAATGAGGTGCTTGAGAAGCATTGCTGCAAAGTGTGCAGCTGGGATATTTTCCATGCACTTTAGTATCCACATAAACTAAATTTCCTCCATTTAGATACATTTTAAACATTAGATGGGCTTTTTCCCTGGAATAGAGACTTTCCTAAAAGGAACCACTTGGAGCTTTTGACCTTCCCTAACACTGTCAGGGTCTTTCATCCAGAATTAATGATAAGTTGTAGATGTGGGGTTGATAAGGCATGCTTATCAGCATCCAAACTTTATTTTCTTTAATCAAAGTTTGGTGTGCAGAGCTTCCAAGACGTGTTATATCTGCAGCATAAAGCTCTTTGCCTTAAAGGACTTCACAAATGTAGGACTGCTTGTGCTGTTTAATTGTCCATAGGTTTGGCTGCATTGAGTAATGTAATGAAAAGCAGATGGAAAGCAAAGAACTTCCTGCCCTGTGTTTTTACTGTTATTTACAGAAAGAGGCTTTGATTTGCAGAAGTGATGAGGGCAACATTTTAATGGAACCATAAAACATTGCAATGGTCTTCAATCCAGTACCAATAATGACAGAAGTTCAAATGGAAACAAAAGGCAGCAAAGGGAGAGGAGCGCTGTGCTGAAGTGCAAACTGCTTCTCGAACAAGTCTTTCCATGGGCTGTGCAAGTCCTAACTGTACTTTTGGGAATTGCCCGTGGGTTGTGGCTGCATTTCCTCTTCTTTTCCATCTCTGCCCAGCTCTGGCTGCCTCTCTGCAGCAGTGTCTGTGTGCTCGTGCTGTCCCTGCTCACTGCTTTGCACACATAGCTCTGCCAGGCAGTGTGTCTCAGCTGTCTGTCTCACCCCATTCTATCTCATAACCGTGGATACGTGTAGTCTGACAGTATTTAAAACCACCAACTGTGCTTCACCTCATCCATGCACTTTGCCCCATGCCTGGAGGTGCTGGCATTGCTGTTGGTCTGTAAGCTTGCTTGCTGGTGGGGAGCATCTTGTTCCCATTGGAGCACAGCTGCAGTTGTCAGTGTGGCAGTTTGAGCTCAAGTGAAGAAATGGGGGGTAAAAAGGTAACTTTTTTCCAAAAAGAGTGTTTTTAAAAACTCAGGGATAGTTCTCACCCATCCTCCATCCTGCTCTGGGCAATGGAGTCAATGGGCTCAACAGCTCTGCCCACGTTTGTGGAGGGATGTTTTTCAAGTTCTTCTCTGATCCATTCATTTAATTCAGATTTAACAGGGAGATGTGCTCTTATTATATGAATTCAAGGGTATGTGAAGGGGTGTTTATTTAAAAGATGGAGAAGAATAAGGTGCAAATAGATGGGACGTGCTGCAGATGGCAGGGCTGAACAGCCATTTGACTCTGGTGAGTGCATAATGTCTTAATTAGTGTTTTTATAAGGAAAATATGGAAAGAAAACGTACCTAATTAGTACCATTCTCGTTAACCTTCAGTAAACAAACTGTTTCAATAAAGCTAAATCAAATGAAAATGTAACTGAGGCAATGCAGGTGCTGTTTGCAGGGTGGAAGCAGACAGCGAGCAAACACACAACGCACTCAGGGCTCCTAAAGCAGTCCATGGTCAGAGGACAGAACACTGCTGTCAGCACTGACAAACCTAAGGACCAATCCTTGAAGAAATCGTGTTTTCTCAGCTCCTATGGAGTGAGAGGACAAAGGTTTGGGGCTGAAAGGTCAGCAGCGCAGTGTGCAGTGTGCTGGTGGTTCCCCTGAGCAGCTGGGAAGGGACCTCAGCAGAGCAGTGCCAGCATCGCATCACTGCTCTGACCTGGGGGGGGATGACATTTCCTGGGCTTTGTGTCTTCTGCATTCCATCCAAACATGAAGCTCACGCCTGGGGCAGCAAGGGCTGAGTCTGCCTTGTGTGCAGTGAGTGATTTTGGGGGGGGGGAAAACCACTGACAAGAAGAAAACGTTGCATCTTAGGCAGTGAATGCAGGGGATGGAATGTAAGATAAAGCAGCTGTCTGCTTTAGCTCTGTGAGAAACGGAGGAAAGCTGAACATGTAAGAAAACCATTTATGTGCACAGCAAATCTACAAATTTGTGAGGTATTTTTAATTATTGCCGCTAATGGATCAGCGTTGTCTGTTTATATAAAGACACGCTACAGCTTCCAGCCCCATTTCTGACTCAACAAAGTGCTTAACCATAAACACATGCTTAGCAGGCACTGCAAGGGCTGCAAACAAAGCAGAGGTTTGGCTGTGCTGCTCAGCAGGGTGGGCCTTGTGCAGAGTTCAGGCATGCCTGGTGTGTTGTTCCTGAGCTGGGACACGCTGGGTGGGGAATTCCTGGATCCCAATGGATTTCCAAAGCCATACGTTGGATTTCCAAAGCCATACGTTTCTTTCTTCCTGGTTTCCCCCTTGTTTCCATCTCTCTGCTCCCTTTCTTCCCCCTGCACACACCAGGCAGTGGCACTGATGCTCTGAAGGATATCCAAGAATCCGAAACAGAGCTCAGTCTGACACGTGCCTTTGTAAAACTTTGGACATAAGGCAGAACACAGCAGGGAAACAAAGCAACTGCTTCTCAGCCTCTTTTTAGGTCCTGCCAGTGCTGATGTGAGGCTCCCAGCAATAGCCTATTGCTGTGCCTGCAAATGTCCTGTTTTGCCATTGAGCTCTCACTTACACGCACAGCTCCTTCTGGGGTGTTGCTGGGATGTCGTAAATCAGTCTTAAAATTGGATATGCAAATACTGTGTGTGTGCCTATCTATATTAAAAAAAGCAATATATATGCGTGCATGTAGAGATGCATATGGCCTTTCCCTGTGTACACACTTCCAGCCCGTTGGCATGGAGATGGGGCTGTGTTACCATGGTAACGGGGATGCAGGGCTCCAGCTGCTGTTCTGCTGGAGAGCACAGGGTGGGCGATGCTGCTTCCTGAGCACTGGAGGAGGAGATGCACTTAGAAACCAACACCATCTCTTAAAGGAGCTCTGCCTGCAGCTCCCAGCCCTGCCAAAGGTGTGCA